CTGTGTCGACAATACATAAAGATAACAGTAACATATGATACTGTATGAGATGTAAAATTTATAATACAGTTCACTACCATGTATACATTATATACAGTACATAAATAATTAAATTATAAGAATAGAAGTAAATTATGGTAAAAAAAATGAAATAATGATGGTACATTACATTACAGTATTATGTAGGTAGTTTATATAGGAAAAGTTTGACATTATGCCCTGCCCAGTGTGTCGGCAATTTTCAAAGGTTCGACTTGCGTCCATTTTGACTTACGACCGGTTGGTCGGAACCAAGCTTGGTCGTAAGTCGGATGGTAGGTGTAAATGTCCAAGTAGCCGTTCTAATATTCAGTCATGAATATTTTGACATTATTTATGCAATTATTACAATATTGCCGTAGTCTGCATAACAGTAAATCTTCTATTTTTTGTTTGAATAAAAATTCAAAATAGAAAGTAAGAGTTATATCAAAGGGGTCTGGAGATGTGACTGATGAATAAAGAAAATGTTACTTTAGAACCAGGAATGTCTATTTTGTAATTGTCATATTTTTTTAATTTTCTTGAAACTTGCCAAGTTGCAAATTTCTGACCACGTTATTGGGTAGTTGAAATCGGTAAATGGGCAGTTTCTTGTACTCTATCGATAGAAAAAATGGAGTTCTAAAGAAATAGCTATGAGTTTGGTCGACTTGAACAATGGAATTAGCAGAAAATATGGCTCAAAGTGAGCAAAATCGCCGATTCGTAAATATTGCCGAGGTTGCTAACTTCGTGAGAGCGTAATTCCGTCAGTTTTCCATCAAATTTTGTTCTTTTGGTGTCATTACAATTGGGAAAAGATTCTTTATCATTTCATTAGATTTTTTTTTTTTTTTTTTTTTTTTTTTTTTTTTTTTTTTTTTTTTTTTTTTTTTTTGCGACACTAGGAGACACCTCAGGATTTATGGTTGCGACAGTCGAGGGGTTAAAGGAACGAGAGGTACAGAGCTCTGTTTACAGATTTTTGGTGCAACAGAGGTCCAGTGACTCTCAAGTTGTTCCCAGTGGCATTAAAAGAAGAAGGGAAATAACCCCAGAAAAGGACTTGCTACCTAAATTCCTAATAGAAGGGGGGAAGGGGATTCCCCTTGCCAAAAATAATAACCTCCATCATCTCCCCTCCCATCCCATCACTCATCAACAGATGTTCAATAAAGGTAAGTGTCATTTATTCTTCATTACACAATAATATATATTATGCATGTCTTTTTTTTTGTGTGTAGGAAAATGTATATTTCATGTGATAAAAATATTTTTTTTTATATACTTTGGGATATCTGGAACAGATTAATTTGATTTCCATTATTTCTTATGTGGAAAATTAATTCAACCTACGATCATTTTGTCTTAAGATGGACTGTTGCAACCCCCAATCCTGAGGTGTCTACTGGTGTCGCAAAATTTAAAAAAAAAACAAATTATTTTTTCTTATGAAATGATAGAGAATCTTTTCCCGATTGTAATGACACCAAAAAAACAATATTTGATGGAAAACTGACGGAATTATGCTCTCGCGAAGTTAGCGACCTCGGTGATATTTACAAATCGGCGATTTCGCCCACTTTGAGCCCTATTTTCGGCTAATTCCAGTGTTCCAGTCGACCAAACTCATAGCGATTTCTTTAGAACAACATTTTTTCTATCGATTGAGTACAAGAAACTGCCCATTTACCGATTTCAACTACCCAATAATGTGGTCAGAAATTTGCAATTTGGCTAATTTCACGAAAATTAAAAAATATGACAATTTCAAAATAAGATCCAGAATGAACAATGCAGACATTCCTGGTTCTAAAATAACATTTTCTTTGTTCATCAGTCATGTCTCCAGGCCCCTCTGTTATTACTCTTGTTTTCTATTTTGAATTTTTATTCAAACAAAAAATAGAAGACTTACTATTATGCAGACTACTGCAATATTGTAATAATTGTATAAATAACATCAACCCATTTATGACTGCATATTAGAATGGCTAGTTGGACATTTATTGGACAATGACATCATTTGTTTACTTTTGAACATTGGCAAAAATCAAACATTTCCCCTACTTTGAGCTCGATTTCCAGGTTCTTTTTACAGTAAAATCAATCAAAATCACTTCTATTTCTATAATATAATTTCCATTTTATCAAATGAGACCAAGAAAACTAGAATACAACCAAAAATATTATACAAAAATAGACCACAAAGTCGGCATTTTAATTAAAAAAAACGGTCGGAGTTTTTTTTTTTCTCATTATGCACTGCGTACTCCAGGATTTTTTTTATATGGTGCACACTGACCACACAGACCCATTCTCTCACAACTGGGCCTACCAGCTTTCTCCTGCTTGATTTGAAGCCGCTAGAATTTATGAGTATATATACAGTGGACCCCCGCATACCGTTGGCCTTACATAACGTTAAATCCTCATACCGATACATTTTATCGCTAAGATTTTGCCTCGCATACCGCTAAAAAACTCCGCTCAACGCTGTTCATCCAAGAGGCGTCTAATGTGCGGCCTGAGCCAGCCTCACATGTTCCGCTGGTAGCATTGTTTACCAGCCAGCCTCTGCGGTAACATCCAAGCATACAATCGGAACATTTCGTATTATTGCAGTGTTTTTGGTGATTTTATCTGCAAAATAAGTGACCATGGCCCCCCAAGAAAGCTTCTAGTGCCAACCCTACAGCAATAAGGGTGAGAATTACTATAGAGATGAAGAAAGAGATCATTGATAAGTATGAAAGTGGAGTGCATGTCTCCGAGCTGGCCAGGTTGTATAATAAACCCCAATCAACCATCGCTACTATTGTGGGCAGCAAAACGGCAGTCAAGGAAGCTGTTCTTGCCAAAGGTTCATCTGTGTTTTCGAAACAGAGATCGCAAGTGATGGAAGATGTTGAGAGACTCTTATTGGTATGGATAAATGAAAAACAGATAGCAGGAGATAGCATCTCTCAAGTGATCATAAGTGAAAAGGCTAGGAAGTTGCATCAGCATTTAATTAAAAAGATGCATGCAACTAGTGATGATGTGAGTGAATTTAAGGCCAGCAAAGGTTGGTTTGAGAGATTTAAGAAGCGTAGTGGCATACATAGTGTGATAAGGCATGGTGAGGCTGCCAGTTCGGACCACAAAGCAGCTGAAAAATATGTGCAGGAATTCAAGGAGTACATAGACAGTGAAGGACTGAAACCTGAACAAGTGTTTAATTGTGATGAAACAGGCCTGTTTTGGAAGAAAATGCCAAGCAGGACCTACATTACTCATGAGGAAAAGGCACTCCCAGGACATAAGCCTCTGAAAGACAGGCTTACTCTGTTGATGTGTTCCAATGCTAGTGGTGATTGCAAAGTGAAGCCTTTATTAGTGTATCACTCAGAAACTCCCAGAGCATTCAGGCAAAAGAATATCCTCAAGGCTAATTTGTGTGTGCTGTGGAGGGCAAACAGTAAGGCATGGGTCACTAGGAACTTTTTCTATGACTGGTTACACCATGCATTTGCCCCCAATGTGAAAGATTACCTAACTGAAAAGAAATTAGACCTTAAGTGCCTCCTGGTGTTAGACAATGCCCCTGGTCATCCTACAGACGTGGCAGAGCGACTTTATGGGGACATGAGCTTCATTAAGGTGAAGTTTTTGCCTCCTAATACCACTCCTCTCCTGCAGCCCATGGACCAGCAGGTTATTGCAAACTTCAAAAAACTGTACACAAAAGCTCTGTTTGAAAGGTGCTTTGTAGTGACCTCAGAAACTCAACTGACTCTAAGAGAGTTTTGGAGAGATCACTTTAATATCCTCAATTGTGTAAACCTTGTAGGTAAGGCTTGGGAGGGAGTGACTAAGAGGACCTTGAACTCTGCTTGGAAGAAACTGTGGCCAGAATGTGTAGACCAAAGGGATTTTGAAGGGTTTCAGGCTAACCCTGAGAGGAGTATGCCAGTTGAGGAATCCATTGTGGCATTGGGAAAGTCCTTGGGGTTGGAGGTTAGTGGGGATGATGTGGAAGAGTTGGTGGAGGAGGACAATGAAGAACTAACCACTGATGAGCTGCTAGATCAACTTCAACAGCAAGAGGCCAGACCTGAGGAAACTGGTTCGGAGGAGGGGAGAGAGAAATTGAAGAAGTTGCCTACTACAAAGATTAAGGAAATCTGTGCAATGTGGCTGAAAGTGCAAACCTTATGAATGAAAATCACCCTCACACAGCTATTGCAAGCCGTGCTGGTGACTATTACACTGACAATGTTGTGAAACACTTTAGGGAAGTCATAAAGGAACGAGAGGTACAGGCCACTATGGACAGATATGTTGCGCGACAGAAGTCCAGTGACTCTGAAGCTGGTCCTAGTGGCATTAAAAGAAGAAGGGAAGTAACCCCAGAAAAGGACTTGACACCTCAAGTCTTAATGGAAGGGGATTCCCCTTCTAAACACTAAGACTCTCTCCTCCTCCCATCCCATCAATCATCACCAAATCTTCAATAAAGGTAAGTGTCATGTAATTGTGCATGCCTTTTTCAGTTTGTGTGTATTAAAATTAATATTTCATGTGGTAAAAATTTTTTTTTTCATACTTTTGGGTGTCTTGCATGGATTAATTTGATTTCCATTATTTCTTATGGGGAAAATTCATTCGCATAACAATAATTTCGCATAACAATGAGCTCTCGGGAACGGATTAATATCGTTATGCGGGGGTCCACTGTACGTCAAACACGGTACCTCGTAAGACGTATATATGCGGCCGCGACAGTCAAAGGGTTAATATCGTAGGTCGGGGGTCCACTGTATTTTGTTCCTCTTACTTTTATTCTCCCCTTCCCCATTTACTATATTTTCTCAATTTCTCTATATTTTTTATTTTATTGACTTTATTTGTGCTTCTGTGTTACTAAAAAAATTATGTATTTATGTAAAAATATTGACATAAATACTTTGTATTGATGACTTGAATGGATGTAACAGGAGCCTGAAGTGGAGAGTGTCATTCATCTACTAACCAGCTACATCAGAGAATTGCTCCAGCGTTGCCGTCAGTATCGCGATCAACTTCTGGCCTCTTGCTTAACTCTTATTCTTAAGCTGCCCCTCCGCATAGTCCAAGACATTTTTCCACAACTGGCGGCTGCATTACAGGTTAGTGCCCGTTTTCTTTGTAGTTTAGTTATTGGTACATTATTTAGGCTCTGATAAATGCTGTATATCTAATTCTGTACCTATATATATTGCACACTTTTCTTAATAGATAAGATAACTTCTTAAAATATATTGTTATCTTTGCCAGTACTCTTGTATTGTGTGTGTTGTCTTGTTTCCAGATTAATCCTTAAACTGTCCAAATGTAGATCTACATTCACGCGCATAGCGCTCTGACTTTTATTTTCCCCATTTGAAAGCATGTAAAAAAACGTAGATCTACGTTCAGAGCCCCTCGCACGTGAACGTAGATCTACATTTGGACAGTTTAAGGGTTAAAAGTTAACTCATGTCTACTAATTGAAAGTATTTCCATGGGGCAAGAAAATGACATGGATTTGAACCCCTGATTATACAGAATCTCTCAACTAAATTTATACCGTTTTTAATGGCATGACAGATGTGTGGCAGAACATGGATAGCTACAGAATGGCATGAGTTGAATGGAAGATTAGAGAAAAGTTAATAGTGTAGTAGATAAGTGTGTGTAGGCAGTTGTAGGCATAAATACATATGGAAGTCTTCAAATTTTGCACAGTAGTTTGTTTTTGGTAAACACATTCCTCAAGCCAAGTTAGTTGCATCTTACCCATGCATACCTGTTCACAGGTACTCATGCTCCCTCCTTCCTCTGTGTAGCTTGGGGCATGCTTCTTATTTTGAAAAACATTTTTAACAGTTTTCTTATGGCTTAGGCACCTCTACTTTTGCTGTAGTTTTTATAATTGCTAAGGTACCTGTAGGGATCTAAGGGAATTTTTATGCAAGTCTTTTGACATTAATAATTGAAGTGATGCTGGTTATTACAACTTGATGTGATAGAAGTTGCAAAGGTTAGTGGACGAGTTTGGGAGGGCGTGTAAAGGAAGAAAGTTGAAAGTGAACGTAGGTAAGAGTAAGGTGATGAGGGTATCAACGAGCTAGGTAAAGAAAAATTGGATATCACATTGGAGGGAGGGAGTATGGAAGAAGTGAATCTTTCTTTCTTTCAACACACCGGCCATATCCCACCAAGGCAGGGTGGCCCCAAAAAGAAAAACAAAAGTTTCTCTTTTAGATTTAGTAATTTATACGGGAGAAGGGGTTACTAGCCCCTTGCTCCCGGCATTTTAGTCGCCTCTTACAACACGCATGGCTTACGGAGGAAGAATTCTGTTCCGGAAGAAGTGAATGTGTTCAGATATTTTGGAATAGACATGTCAGCAAGTAGTTTTATGAAGGACAAGGTTAACCATAGAATTGATAAAGGAAAAGAGGTGCATTGAGGTTTCTGTGGAGACAATGTTATCCATGGAGGCAAAGAAGGGAGCGTACGAAAGTATAGTGGTACCAACACTCTTAAATGGGTGTGAACCATGGGTTGTAAATGCTGCAGCAAGGAGGAGGCTGGAGGCAATGGAGACGTTGTGTCTAAGGGCAATGTGTGGTGTAAATATTATGCAAAGAATTCAAAGTGTGGAAATTAGAGGAGCTGTGGAGTTACTCAGAGTATTATTCAGAGGGCTGAAGAGGGGTTGTTGAGGTGGTTTGGTCATTAGAGAGGATGGAGCAAAATAGGATAAATTGGAAGGTGTGCAAGTCTGTGGTGAAGGGGAGGAGGGGTAGGGGTCATCATTGGAAAGGATGGAGGGAGGGGGGTAAAAGAGGTTTTGTGTGCAAGGGGCTTGGACATGAAGCAGGCATGTGTGAGCATATTATAGGAGTGCATAGAGACGAATGGAGTTTGGGACCTGATGAGCTGTTGGAGTGTGAGCAGAGTAATAGTTTGTGAAGGGATTCAGGGAAACTGTCTTATGTGTGTGTGTGTTTTGTACTCACCTAGGTTTGGTTGCAGAGGTTGAGTCACAGTTCCTTGCCCCGCCTCTTCACTGGCCGCTACTGGGTCACTCTTCCTGCTTCATGAGATTTATCATATCTCTTCTTAAAGCTATGTATGGATCCTGCCTCCATTACATCACTTCCTAGACTAGTCCACTTCCTGACAACTCTGTGAACTGAAGAAATACTTCCTAACATCCCTGTGATTCATCTGAGTCTTCTTCCAATTGAGACCCCTTGTTGCTGTGTCCCATTTCCGTAACATTCTGTCTCTCTCCACCTTATTGATTCCTCTCAGTATTTTATATGTCGTTACCAAATCCCCCCTTCTCTCCTGTCTTTCAGTGTCGTCAGGTCGATTTCCCTTAACCTCTCCTTGTAGGACATACCCCTTAGCTCCAGGACTAGTCTTGTTGCAAACCTTTGCACTTTCTGTAGTTTCCTTACATGCTTGGCTAGGTGTGGGTTCCAAACTGGTGCTGCATACTCCAATATGAACCTTTCTTACACAGTGTACAGGGCCCTGAATGATTCCTTATTAAGATGTCGGAATGCTGTTCTTAGGTTTGCTAGGCACCCATATGCTGCAGCAGTTATTTGATTGAGGTGCACCTCAGGAGATGTGCCCAGTGTTACACTCACCCAAGATCTTTTTCCTTGAGTGAGGTTTGTAGTCTCTGGCCCCCTAGACAGTACTCCATCTGCAGTCTTCTTTGCCCTTCCCCAATCTTCATGACTTTGCACTTGGTGGGGTTGAACTCCTGGAGCTAGTTGCTGGACCAAGTCTGCAGCCTGTCCAGATCCCTTTGTATTTCTGCCTGGTCCTTATCTGATTGGATTCTCATCAGCTTCACATCATCTGCAAACAGGGACACTTCGGAGTCTATTACTGACTCCTGTGGAACCCCGCTCGTCACAGGCGCCCACTCTGGCACCTGTGTGTGTGTGTGTGTGTGTCTGTCTGTCAGTGTCAATCATTGCTTTCTTACTGGTTCTGGCGCTGAGTGATCTAGTTCACTAAAGTTCTCTGTAAATGTCACAGCTACAACTACTCAAACCAAGTTAGTTCACGGACATACATAATGAATGAAAGGAAATAAAATGAGCACAATAATGCATTGTCATAGTTTGTGGAAAAGCAAGGAAATAAGTAGTAGAGTAAATGCTAATGTAAAATGTTGAATGTTGCTGAATTTAGACCATAATGGTCTGCTGACTGGCCATTTTAACTCCTTGAGGGTCCAGACCCCTAATCCAAAAATTCCCCACAGGTCCAAGAATTTAACCCTTTGAGGGTCTGTCCCATAGTTCTACAGCATTGAAGCCAAGGTCCAAGCCATAGTTCTGCGCCATGAGCTCAGCTCACTGAGATCAGCTGTGAGTGGTCAATTTGGGCCTGGATGTGATAGAATACATCTATGTGGTAAGTGTGCACCACATAAAACAAATCCTGCAGCATGCAGTGCATAATGAGAAGAAAACTGTGACCGTATTTTTGGATTAAAACAACGACTTTGCAATGTTTTTTCATATGTTTTTTACAGTTGTATTCTTGGTTTCTTGGTCTCATTGGATGGAATGGAAGATATATTACAGAGATAGAGATGATTTTGATTGGTTTTAGTACCGCAAATAGCTTGAAACTCGGCTCAGAGTAGCGAAAATTTTCGATTTTTGATGATGTTCAAGAGTAAACAAATGATGTCACGCGTCCAATATTCATCAGCTGGTGGGTCTGATGTACGTTCATGAATGCACTGATATTGTTTATACAATTATTGCAGTAGTGCATAACAGTAAATTTTCTATTTTTGGCATGAATAAAAAATAAAAATGGAATTAATTTGTGATGCCTGAAAATGTCACTAATAAACAGAGGAATATTAGTTTAATACCAGGAATGCCTGCATTGTTTATTCTAGACCCTATTTTGAAATTAAAATATTTTGAACTTTGTGTGAAATTGGACAAATTACCAATTTCCCATCTCTTTATTGGGTAGTTGAATCAGTTGACCGGGCGATTTCTTGTGCTCACTTGATAAAATAGAAGTAATACTAGTGAAATAGCTAAGAATTTGGTTGACTGGAATAACGTAATTGGCCAAAAATGGCAATCAGAGTGGGCAAAATCACTGATGCAGCAAAATTTGTGAGCATAATTTCATCAATTTTCCATCATATTTTGTACTTTGTTGTATTGCTCTAGGAAAAAGATTCTTTACCATTTCATAAAAAAATTTTCCTTTTTTTTTTTTTTTTTTTTTTTTTTTTTTTGAAATTCATGGACCCCTGTGGACACGTTTCTGATCGGAAGTCTGGATCCTGAATGGGTTGAAAAAATATATACTTCTTGTGAAATGGTAGAAAAACTTTTTCTGAAGCTAATAAAACAAAAAGTATGAAATATTGATAAAAAATTTATGAAATTATGCTCTCACGAATTTTGCCCACTTTGGGTCCTATTTTCATCCAATTACATTGTTCTATCAGACCTAATTCTTAGCTATTTCACTAATATGTGTTCCATTTTATCAACTGAGCACAAGAAATCGCCCAAGCAACTATTTCAACTACCCAATAAAGTGAAGAGAAATTGCTAATTCGCCAATTTCGCTCAAATTTCAATATGTGCCAATTTCAAAATGGGGTGCACAGTGAACAATGCAGGCACATTCCTGGCACTAAAATAACATTAACTCTGTTTATTAGTTATGTTTGCAGACTTTACACATGAATTCCATGTTGATTTTTCATTCACACAATTTTTATTCACAAAATATATAACAGTTACTGATATGCAATATTGGAATTACTGTATAAATAATATCAGTGCATTCATAAATGCATATCAGACCCACCGGTTGATGTGTATTGGATGTGTGACATGATTCGTTTACCCTTGAACATCGGCAAAAAACGAACATTTTTGCTACTTTGAGTGCAATTTCAAGCTATTTTCTCTTCTAAAATCCATCAGAATCTTGTCAATTTCTGTAATCTACCTTCCATTCTATCAAATGAGACCAAGAAACTGAGAATAAAACCACGAAAACCATATGAAAATACACCGCAATGTTGTTGTTTTTAATCAGATACACAGTGGCAGTTTTTTTCTCATTATGCACTGCTTGCTGCAGGGTTTGTTTTATGTGGCGCACACTTACTGCATCATTCCATTCTCTTATATCTAGGCCGAAATTTACTGCTGACAGCTTATCTGAGTGAGCTGAACTCGTTACATAGAACTATGGCACTGATCCTGGCTTCAAAGCCGTAGAATTACGGACCCTCAAAGGGTTAATGATTGGAATCAGATGGATTTGTATCCTACAGACCCCAGAGAAAAGATAGGTGAAAGTAGTAATGCAGAAGATGAGACAATAGGTTGGAAGAAGCAAGTATTAAGAGAAGCTGAAAGCTGTATTTGAAAGCAGTCTTCCTATATGTAGATGATAACTTTGTTGTGGGAATTGCTTTATTTTATGGAGTGCTAAATCCATGTGGATCATTAATCTCAAAGAGCAAGGAAGGCACAATTCTGTGTCTGCTGTTTGCTGCACAATCTGACTTGCCTGGCTGTTGGTGAACTTTTTTTTTCATAATAAAATCAGTGAAAACTGAAGCAGTTGTGTATATTAAGATGAAAAGTGGCAGGAGCTGCTGCATGTGCTAGAAACAGATAAGAGGTAGTCAGGGACACACATTTATTTTATAACATTTATTATAGAAAAATCTGAACAAATTTAATCATGTGGTGTAGCATGATTAAATATGGTGGTCAACCTATGGGTTTAGCAAATTTTTTTTTTAATTTAATAATAAAAACCATATGCTATTAAAGTGTTTCTAATGCAGTATTTTGAAAGGCTTAGTAAACCACTCTTAGCACCATATCTTGAGTACCTGCTCAATCACCAAGTTAGGACCTACCTACCTACCTAATACTATTTAGCGCAGTTGTTCAGTTAACTACAGCTCTGGACATTGAAAAACACCTTTGATATTACTGTTTTTTTTTTTTTTTCGTGGTTTGCAGATGGCTTTGCAGCTTGGTGTTAGTTACTTACCACTAGCAGATGTGTGTGTGTCAGCTCTTCAGGTGTGGACTGAGCAGTTACCTCATGATATGCTACAGCAACATTTACCATTGGTCATGCCCCTTCTCCTGCCATACCTTCGTTCCCGGGGTGCTGCAATAAGTTTTTATATTTTACTTTGTGATTGTAATAATTGTACCAAGATTCAGTAATTTTCTAACATTGTTTACAACACTGTTTCTTGGAATTTTTCCTGAATTTGAATATATATTTAAAAAAATATTTAAAATGTGTGTATTTAAAATATTTTGTGAAGGGATTCAGGAAAACTGGTTAGCCTGACTTGAATCCTGGAGGTGGGAAGTACAGTGCCCATATTTTAAAGGAGGGGTTTGAGATAATTTTTATTTGGAGTGACATGTAAACTGTTCTATCAGTGATTATGTGTGATTGACTATGAAAGTGTTTCTTTATTTTTTTGGGTCACCCTGCCTCGGTGGGAGACAGCTGACGTGTTAAAAAAAAATTAAAAGAATTACTTAAGGAAAACATTTTGATGTTTTTCTGTTACAGTAGTTTGAGCATGACCAAAGCATAGAGATGTTGCAGCTCTGAGTATCATTGAAGCCTTTTAGCTGTTGTCATGAATCACTGTGTTACTGAGGCCAGGATCCCTCATAGTTTGATGTCATGAGCTCAGCTCACTCAGATTAACTGTGATCTGTATAATTTGGCCTTGATGTAAGAGAATGGGTCTGCACGGTGAGTGTACACAGTATGAAAAAAATCCTGCTCCACATGGTGCATGATGGGAAAAGCAGAACTCTGACCATGTGTTTGGTTTATAATAGTGAATTTGGGGTGTTTTCTAGGATAGTTTGTATGGTTTCATTGGCTGTTTCTTGGTATTGTTTGATAGGATAAAAGACATCATTGAAGTAGTGATGATATTGATGGGTTTCAGGACTGGAATTAGCTTGAAACTGAGCTCATGGTGCATGATGGGAAAAGCAGAACTCTGACCATGTGTTTGGTTTATAATAGTGAATTTGGGGTGTTTTCTAGGATAGTTTGTATGGTTTCATTGGCTGTTTCTTGGTATTGTTTGATAGGATAAAAGACATCATTGAAGTAGTGATGATATTGATGGGTTTCAGGACTGGAATTAGCTTGAAACTGAGCTCAAAGTAGCAGAAATACAGTGGAATCTTGACTTGCAAGTTAAATCTGTTCCATGACCTAGCTCATAACCCACTTAGCTCATATGTCGAATCAATTTTCCTCATTTAAATTAATTGAAATGCCATTAATCCGTTCGAGCGGAATTCCTGCTCTTGGGAGACAGGACAAAATACTTCAGTATGATGCTAATATCAACTCTACAGCTTATTTATCTATCACAGTTCATCTAATATGACAATAAACAATGTTAATAACATAGAAACATGATATATACTCTAGAATAAATAAAATGTCAATACATACATGACTAGTGGTGGCGGCAGCAGCAGCCATTTCCCCCTCCTGCTCTGACTACATATCTGACTACATATAAGAGAAAGCAGAGTGTTTGTGAGACTAACTGCACTAGATCGCTAGTTTCATAAGGAAAACACTAAAACAATGTACAAAATTTATTAATAAGAAATATTGTATAAAAACATATTAAAACATAATAGAGAAAATGTAAAGAAATTAAGTGGTTATTGTATGTATAAAGTACGTATACACACTTACCTTGGAGCAGATGCTGGCAGAGATTGAGGGTGGTGGAAGATAGGCAGGGCAGTGTATGTTGTCGGTGGCCTTATAAACCTCCAACAACAACATTGGAGGAGTTAGTTTCTTGTCCTTTTTCCTATTGATTAATCGCTTAACTTACTTGCTACACTTCATCGCTGAACTTAACTGCTAGAATTGTTTTTTTGTTTTTTTTATTTCACTTTTCACTTGATTTACTTGCTACACTCTTAATGCTACACTCCTCCATCCTTGTTTGTGTTTATATATGATTTCATGCTTTAATTACATGGACATTATCATCTTTTTCTTCTAAGCACTGTCCTTGCACTTACTTTCTTAGGACCCATGGTTAGAAACAAGAAATTTGCCAAAATAACTGCAGAAAATGGAAGGAAATCATGATAAAATCTCCTTCCACAGTGAGGTAAACATGTGCACTGCTCACCAAATGTTTTGCTGCTCATGGCACCAACTAATGGCAGCTTTCTGAAGTTTCTTCTTATTGCTATTATTACATATTGTTGTTATTATTACTATTATATTGTACAGTGCAACCTCCTCGGTTTTTGTTTGCCCAGGTTTTCATCGAATTTGGTTTTTGATGACTTTTTCATCAAAATTTTGTCAGAGTTTTCATTCATCACCTCGGTTTTCGTCAGTCTGCCGTACTGAACGTGTCTGCCTGCCCGCACCCACACAAAGCATCCCACACATTCTGAGTCAGTCTGGCTTTGTTTCTCGTCGAGTGAGCATTACCCTGTGCGTTCATCCAAAACATATCGTAATAATTCATTGTATTTTGTGCTTGCGACTGCTAGATAAGCCACCATGGGGGCCAAAGAAAGTTCCGATAAAGAAGGCGAGAAAATCGATAGAATTCAAGAAAGAACTCGTTGCAAAGTACGAAAGTGGTGTATGTGGGGTTAATCTCGCCTGGATGTACGGGAAGTCCTCATCAGCGATCAGTTCCATCCTGGCGATGAAAAAAGAAATGAAGGAATAAATGTGGTAATGAAACAGAGATCGCAAACAATTGAAGATGTTGAGAATTTGTTGTTGGTGTGGACAAAAAACAGTTAGCGGGAGATAGTGTTGTGGAGGCGATAATTTGCATAAAGGCAAGGCAGTTGCATGCAGATCTCGTAAAGAAAATGCCTGGAACGACTGCTGCTGTTAGTGAATTTTAGGCCAGCAGAGGCTGCTTCAACAAATTCAAGAAGCGATCTTGCATACACAGTATGTTAAGGCATGGCGAGGCTGCAAGTTCGGATAAACATGTGGCTAAAGAATTCGTTGCTGAATTCAAGAAGTATGTAAAGGCTGAAGGATTCCTCCTCCAGCAAGTCTTCAATTGTGATGAAACAGGCTTCTTTTGGAAGAAAAATACCAAAGAGGACCTATGTAACTCCGGAGGAAAAGGCACTGCCAGGACACAAGCCTATGAAGGATACCTGGAGACCTGGAGAGAGTTCCGGGGGTCAACGCCCCCGCGGCCCGGTCTGTGACCAGGCTAACTGTTTTGTTCTGTGGTAGCACTAGTGGGGATTTCAAAGTGAAGCCTTTACTGGTGTATCACTCTGAAAATCCCTGAGTGTTGAAGAAAAATAATGTCATCAAGAGTAAATTGTGTGTGATGTGGAAGGGTAACAATAAGGCATGGGTCATGCGGCAAATTTTCATTGAGTGGGTCAGTGGAGTGTTTGGCCCAATGTGAAGAAATACCTGGAAAATCATTTGCCACTCAGGTGCCTCCAGGTAATGGACAGTGCTCCTGCTCATCCTCCAGACTTGGAAGACCAATTGTTGGAGGAGTTTAGTTTCATCACAATGAAGTTTTTGGCCCCTAATACCACTCCTCTCATCCAGCCCATGGACCAGCAGGTCATTTCAAACTTCAAAAAACTCTACACCAAAGCAGTTTTTCAGAGGTGCTTTGAAGTGACCTCAGACACTTAATTGACCCTAAGAGAGTTCTGGAGGAATCACTTCAGTATCCTCAATTGCATAAGCCTTATAGATAAGGCTTGGGAGGAAGTGACTTCTAGGACAATTAACTCTGCTTGGAGAAAACTGTGGCCAGAATGTGTCCAAGATAAGGATTTTGAAGGGTTTGAGACTGACCCTTACAACCCTATGCTTGTTGTGGAATCTACTGTGGCTTTGGGGAAGTCCATGGGGTTGGATATGAGTGACTAAGATGTAGAAGAGTTGGTGGGCAACCACAGGGAGGAGCTAACCACTAAAGAGCTGCAACACCTTCAACTGGAACAGCAACAGGTTGCAGCGGAGGAAATTCCTTTAGAGGAGGAGGAGGAAGAGAGAGGGGAGAACGTGCCTTCTGTGATTAAGGACATGTATGCAAAGTGGAGTGAGTTGCAGAGTTTTGTGGATAAATATCACCCTAACAAAACTGTTGCAAGCCATGTCTCTAACATGTTCAATGACAGTTCCTTGTTCCAATTTAGGCAAATCTTAAAGAGATGCCAGAAACAGACTCTGTCTGGACAGATTTTTTGTGTGACAGGGGTCCAGTGCCAGTAAAAGACAAAGAAGGGAAGTAACCCAGGATAGGGACTTGACACCTAAAGTCCTTATGGAGGGTGATTTCCCTTCCAACCAATAACCTCTCCTCCTCCCGCTCCTGTCCTCGCATCTCCCATATGCTAACAAAAGTCTTCAATAAAGGTAAAAGTGATATAAATGTTCATTTTCCCATTTTATTAGTCCTTTATATTTATTTCTCATTGTGTTCTGTATGTAAAACTATAGTTATTCTCTCTAAAACGTATTTTTTGTTAATATTTTTGGGTGTCTGGAACTGAATAATTGGATTTTCATTATTTCTTTTGCGAAATATTGCTTCAGGTTTCGTTGAATTTGTTTTTTGTCATACTTTCTGGAACGAATTGATGACGAAAACCGAGGTTCCAATGTATTAATATAATATTATTATTATTATTATTATTACAGGTCCGCCATCACAAATCCGGCAGTCAGATATCCAGTTCTATCAGTTATTCAGCACTAATTTCGCCTAGCATAATTTCAAATTTCCAGGGTTGCTACACCAACTTGCTTGTACTGTTTGGTGGCTCTACTTGCTGCATAAGCCATTCTAGTATCTTTTTCTCCATTTATTGTTATAACCTGCTTGCATTTAGCCCCAGCCTTGGTTCCAACGAATTAAAGAAATGCTTTTCATTGTGTAAAGCACCTACACAGTACATTGTCCATTAAAGATAAGGTGGCTTTGAAGCCACTGTCGGTTGCCATGAGCTCAGTCTCGTGATGCAGAGGAATAAGCTTTATTATTATGCTAATATCAACACTATGGCTTATTTGCCTATCACAATTGATTTAATATGACATAATAACATAATAAACAATATAAATAACATTAAAACATGTTAAATACTCCAGAATGAATAATATTTGGCATAATACCGAGCAGTTTCGATGGAGGTA